ATACTAAAAATTTGATTTTAATCATGTAAGAGCAAAATATGGTGTGCAATTTATAAGGACTTGTAAATTTCATATTATAAGTCATATATTAGGTAAATAGCACTGGGGTTCCGAAACTTTGAACCTTGTAGTGATAGAGTTTGAGTTCTAATACCTGATATCCCAGACTTTCAAACTTTAGCGGCTAAAGTTGCGATAACTATTAAAGATAACTTTTTTCTCATGCTTATATCATGGAACAGTAGTTAGGATTTGTTTCAGCCTCATTTTTTTGTAGAATAAATTTTGTAATAATAATTTTTTAAAGAATGTATAGTTAAATAGTTGAGAAAAGTTTTGGATTTACGTGTAAAATTAATTTTATGGGTGAAAGTGTGCTTGAAAATGAATTTGAGAAAAAATAAATTTTTAAATAATGCACTTCAACAGGGGCTTAAAGTAATTATACTTCTTTAATCTAGTACTTTAATCCAAAACTTGTGGTAAGTGTTGTTCATCATTTATTAATTTAATCTTATTTATTGTATTTTCTGCTTTTTGAGCTCATGAACGTATTTTTGTTACTTGAGGTATCCACTTGGTCATGGACATGGGTTCCCATCTTTGATAAATAGTGAGAAACTTGATGCATTATTAGTAAAATTGGTCAACTTTGTGCTCCAATTTCAGTGGGATCCGTACTCCGATTTCAACGGAACCAAACATATTCGCGTTCTACTTCGTGAGGTGATTAACGTGATATTTTTATTTATCGAAAATCATTTAGAATTAAATGAAATATTTTATGTTAAATTAACCTACTTGAAACTATAAACTAGTAAATAATTTGATTTAATTGCAAATTGCTACACTTATCCCACATAGAAATATTAGAAAACTTTGATGTGGTTTATATAGTGGAAGTTTGATAATTGTGTTTGGACCCCAAGGGGTGCCTATAGTCTTTAGAAGGAGGGAGAGACTGGTCGATCAACATTGCACGTCCTCGAGTCAAATCCGGTTCGTATATAGGTGTGGGTGGGTCCTTGTCCTATATATACTTCTTTTTGAACAAAATTTATTTAGCGATTGTTTGACACACCCATTTTAATGGGTTGAAAATTTTTGGAATAGTGATTCATGGGAAAATTTGTGGTGGAGAAGTGATGAAAATTTTTAGATTTGTGTGTAATATTATTTTAGTTGGAGAATGTGTCGTTGAAATGAAGAAAAAGAACGAGAATGAGTTCCAAACATGGGCTTAATTTTTTGGGCAAAATTTGTAACTAATCAAATTATTAGGTACTTAATGAAATTATTATTTCCTTCTATTGGCTTTTATGGATATTTTTTGGTTTGAGTCGTCTGTTAACTGACGTTACGACGTCTGAGTTGTTTGTTAACCTACTTAACAAAAGCAGTATTTTAATCTAAACAAAGTTGTCTGTTCAAATTTTGGAAAGTTGTCCAAAGAGTGATGAACAAATCTATAATAGCTTGTCCTGCTACTAGAAAATTCATACCATCTTCATTGCTAATATTCTCTGCATTGAATCTTATTCCATCTTTCTGAAAATTGTGTAAATCAGTCCAAAGGTAGTCATAAAATGATACAAGTCTTCAGAGTTAATTTCAAACTTTGAATCAATATGCTGCAATTAGCAGTGTTTATATTATTCTGTTGCTAACGATTAAGCTCTTTAACTTTTTAATACACATTTCTTATGGTTCAAATTATCTAATTGCCGAGAGGTAGTTAATTGAAAGAATTAATTGCTAAAAAAAAAAAAAAAAAACCT